TTAGTTCTATATGAGTTTGGGCTTTCAGGTGCTTCAGTGGTAAAGAATCCACCTGTCAATGCAGGAGATGCGGGTTTGATTCCTGGATAGGGAAGAATCCTTTGGAGGAGAAAGTCACAACCCACTCCAATATTCTTGCCTGGAGAACCCCATGGACAGAGGAGCTTGGTGGGCTACAGTGCATGGGGTCGCAGGTTCAGACATGGCTGAGCACAGCGGCCTGTGCAGAAATCAGGTTGTGACCTTCGGCCTCATTTGCCCCACCAACCAGCTCCAGCCTGCTCTCTGGCAAGCTCCCCCGCTGCTCCTGATAAAGTTCCGGCCCCTCCCCACCAATGTCCTCTTCAAAGAGGCCCGTCTCAGCCGTGCAGGAGTGGGGAGGGGGTGCTTAATTACCTTACTGTCCATTCTTATTCAGCCTAGAGGCAGTGGCTTTTTCTTTTTTTCTGGGGTTTTTATTGCCCTGCTACTTTTAAGTCCTTTTTTTCTCTGAGTATTTTGTGACCACCAGGCTCCTCTGTCCATGGGATTTACCAGGCAAGAATACTGGAGTAGGTTGCCATTACCTTTTCCAGGGGATCTTCCTGACTCAGGGATCAAACCCTGGTCTCCTGCATTGGCGGCAGATTCTTTACCATCTGAAATACAAGGGAAGCCATTTACTTCCTACTAGTTAACAATTAACCCTATTACATTTTCCCTGCTCAAATAACTGGTTTGATTTCTACTTCCTGATTGGACCCTGACTGATGTATACTTTAGGACAGTACATCTTCTAAGATTTCAAAGTATTCAACAGTGGCTCATGAATGCTGTTAATTGTGGAATAAACAGAAGTAAAAACAAACAACCCCCTCCCCATTATGGATCTCACATTCTTGTGGAGGTGGTATCATAAGACTAAGTAAGATCTGTAGTATATAGACTCTTATTAAACATCTCAAAGCAGGTTTATTTCTCATTTACCCCAAGATAGTGCCTGGTTCATACAGGTGCTCAACAAACATCTGGTGAAGCAGGGTATGTTGTTGACATCCAGTAACCTTGGTAGGCTTGTTAGCAGTAAGATAAATCCACAGGGGGTTGACCACAACAGTCAAGCCTCTGCCGGAGTCTTTTACATTCAGCTGCAACCAGATCTCTTTCCTTTGCTCTTTGTTCCAGGAAGGCAATTAAACAAGCCTTTTCATCACTCCACCATTTCTGTTTTTTAAAAAATTTTTATTTATTTATTTATTTTTCATTTCTCCACCATTTCTAATGGGTATGTGGGTGGCAGGTAGTAGAGAAGAGGCAACCTTGAGGTCCCAGGGAACCAAAGAAAGGTTATGGGCAAAAACTCCTCTAAATTGGCACAATTTAAATCTAAACTGGCACAATTGGCAAGGAGATCAAGTCAGTCAATCCTAAAGGAAATCAGTCATAATATTCATTGGAAGGACTGATGCAGAAGTTGAAACTCCAACACTTTGGCCACCTGATGGGAAAAGCGGACTCATTGGAAAACATCCTGATTCTGGGAAAGATTGAAGGGAGGAGAAGGGGATGACAGAGGATGAGATAGTTGGATGGCATCACTGACTCAATGAATATGAGTTTGAGCAAACTCCAGGAGACAGTGAAGGACAGGGAAGCCTGGCTTGCTGCGGTCCATGGGGTCGCAGAGTTGGACACTACTGAGCGACTGAACAACAAATTGGCATAGCTTTACTTTCTCTATCAAAGTGTTCTCACTTAATTCTCACAATAATCCAGGAGATAGGTTTTATAATCTTTACCTTATTGATGAGGAAGTTGAGGGTAATCTGAAAGGTAATTTACCCTACAAGTAATTAAACATCAACTAAAATACGCATCCAGGACTGAAGATGAAGTTTCTTGGTTAGTCTGTCCCTCAGATGGTGGCAGTGAAATGATTTAGACACAGTTCCTATGGAGGGGAGTATTTGATGTACTCATTCTGGAAGATTCTAATCTTCATGGCATAAGACCACCCACAGATCTCATCTAATCAAATCATAGTCTTAAGTGCCTCTGAGGGTGGGCGAGGGGGGTTTCATTTTAAAAATTAGAGCATATTTGGAATTTAGGCTGTCTTGCTTATAAAATTAAGATAAATTTCTTTATAGTTCTCAAAAAATACAGATTACTTGTATTAAGAGCAAATCTCACTAGTATATCAATTACTATGATTTAAAAAGAATTATGTAGGTATGGAATAAACAAATTATGTTTTGGAAGTTGTTCAACAGACAAAATACACCTAAAGAACATAAAAATTCTTTATTTAACCTAATCCAGCCAGTGTTGAGATAGTCTATGTTAAAAACAAGACATTTAAAAAAATTACAGCACAGTTAGCAAGGCAGTGACTAATTAAGTCACGCAGTTTAATTTTATATTCTTCACAGTCATTTGATAATCATGTAATGATGAACAATATTTTCTGCCACTTTGAGATAAGTTAATTTCTGCAAACAAGAGAATCCTACTAGTTGTCACTGAATTTTATAAAAGAGGTTTAAAACATTAACATTTATAGAAATAACACAGTAAAGCAATGTGAAAATAAATTGGAAAACACAAATATACCCACCCATCCCCAAAGTCTAGAGCATTCCTTAATCTGTCCCCTGGTGTTTCTCTTACTACCGCATTCCCTCTTCCTAGAGTTCAGCAATTGAGACATTACTACTCTGTAGGGGCTATTTTGAGCTTAGTTAAGGTGTCTCTGTTCCTTTAATTTCTCAGTTAATCCTAGAACCAGTCTTCTGAAACAAAGTATTACTCATATTTCAGAGATGAGGAAAACCATGGCTAAGAGGTAAGTTGCTTGGTCAAAGTCATACCTATAATTATTAAAAGCAGAATTAGGATTTCAACCCAGGTCCACCCAACTTTAGTTAGCCCATGATTTTGTTGCTGTGGTGGTGTGGGCCACTTTCTGAAGAGGCTGGTACATGGTACTTCTTGAGCTAAGGCTCTTTAGATTTCCAAATGTTCTATCCCGGGGCTGAGGCTCCTCTGGTCCCCAGGCACTTGCGATTCCCCCCAGAGCCCTAGAAACTCCTTTTCCCTGCCCCCAAAGGATTAGAGCTGCTCCTCTGGCCTCATAAGCCCTGATGCCAAACAAACCCAAGCAGTTAGTCCCCCATTTTGGGCATAAAGTATTAAATGGAGAACTATGTGCTTGTATAACTTTAGTAAAGGCTGCCAGAAGCTGTTTTGTATGACAAAATTATGCAGGAAATAATGTCTTTTCATATCGAAAATTAAAGGAAAAGCCAACATACTTGATAATTATAGCTATATAATCTATTTTTATATATAATCATAGATTTTTGTATTTCCCCTTCAGAACTGTAGCAGGGTTCTTAATAAGGCTGTCAGTCAATATTCCCTTCCTAAGTAAATACAACTTTGAATGTTCAATAGTCATTCACATAAATTTCATGTTATTACTCAAAATTAAGACATTCATACTATAGAAAGGTACCAGTCTTAAATTACTAAATTAGCATACATCATTGCAGTCTAACAAAGCTCAATCTATATTTGCACAATCCTAAAGAAAAGTGGCCACTTAATTGGTAGGGGGAACATTCATATTGTCATGCATTAGATACTGTGAACTAGTAAATAAATAGGGTTTTTGGAACTATCTTTAAAAATTTTAATATTAATTCCTGAAAATAACTCCAAGACCATTCAGTTTGCTGAACATTAAAAGGGCCACTACTGAACAGCTTAAAATAAATAACTGCTTTTGAAAAATGAATATAAAACTACTTATACAGTGATTATTAAGGTGCTAGCCTCGATATGACAAGCAATTTAAATTTAAAAACATTAGTCATTTTTTTTCCTCATAATAATCTCACAAAAACAATGACGGTAATATTTTCTCAAGACTTCTTGTTTTCATAATTATTCCTCACTGACTGGTATAAAAACAAAGAGCTCAAGGCCTCACCTTGGTTTACTCACTGCTGGTTTTCTGTCTGTTGAAATTAGACTGTAAACTACATAAAAGGAGGAACCAACTCTGTTGTATTCACCACTGTATCCCACACAGCACTTTGCATAGTGCCTGGGCAAGCAGGAGGTGATCAACAAATACCTGAATAACTGAATCGATGAGAGAGAAGAGTAAAATAACTATTGATTTTCTGCAAATCGTTCTCTGTGCTCAAACTACTATAAACTGTCAGTTCTATTTTCTAGAAATATGAATTTAAAAAACTTTCTCCAGTGATGGAAGGACTTGATATCTGTGTCTCTGTGTTAGTTTGTCTGTCTCTCTCTCTCACACGCGTGCACACACACACACACTGAGATGTCAACATTATATAAATAAAATTTAATAGTGAAAAAGTGATCTGGAAGCCCTGTGAATTTTTACCCTACACATTTTGGAGGATGTCACATGGGTTAAGAAAAACACAACAAAACTGCATTTGTTCAGATAATCATTTGAATGTTTACATACATTTTTGGTTTGTTAATTATTTATAACTAATTTACATTTCCTCATATTAACATATACTTCTGTTTAGCTTATAAATCAAATTATGCCAGTGAGAAAAATCCTCACAGTACCTTCATTGAGTTGCTAATTCTAAGAAAACACTGAACATGAAATGTACAAAAGAGGCATTTGAATAAAACAGCATATGTATTTTTAAATATTTGCAGTTTGATTTTTACATTTCTGTCTTGAGGAAAATATGAACAAAACTCAGGTTCACCATGCTAAGATAATGGTTCAGATGACCGCCATGAAAGAAGTACATAAGAAAACAATGAAAACAAATCACATCCTCAGGTTCCGTGATTACTGAGAGGGTTTCCCCTGCCCTAAGTGCTTTATTATATTTCTTAAAAATATGAGAGCAGCAGCTTATTACAAGTCTCCACTACTGTGCATCAATGATGGAATCAGAACAACACAACAGATTCATAAGAATGAGAGGACTGCAGAACAACGAGAAGTCACAGTTTTATGCTTCTTCTTGCTCTGGATAATTTAGAATTTTGCGGTGTGCCTGACGTAAATATTGCTGCTGTTTGAAGTAAACCTTGAACGCTCCTTTAATGGCAACAAAAGCAATTCCACCCTAAAATAAAAAGAAAAATTAGCTTTTTGCAATGCAGATTTATAGAAAATAAAAATCATTTTACTTATATCACAAAAGACATTGTCATTGTTGCTAATTCAGATGGCTGCAAATGAAACAGTACTCTTTTTTTTTTTTTTTATCAGAGTGAGACGGAGACAGACACTGCAGGTAATATGTCAATGAAAAAAGTGAGTGTCAGTTGCTCAGATATGTTCCACTCTTTGTGACCCTGTGGACCTCTGTCCATGGAATTCTCCAGACAAGAATACTGGAGTGGGTTGCCATTTTCTTCTCCAAGGGATCTTCCTGACCCAGGGATAGAACCCATGTCTCCTGCATTGCGGAGATTCTAAAGGCAGATTCTTTACCATCTGAACCACCGGGAAGCTCAACAGGTCAGAGATGCCTCTATCATCTCTGAGTAATCTTCCTTCTACTTAGTTCTAATGCTCAGGCATTATATGCAGGCTACCTCCAGAGAGGAGAAGTGGAATAATAATAATGACATCAAAAAACATAAAGGCTTATTTATTACTCTGTGCTAACATTTCAAATGAATGATCTCATTTAACCCTCATAATTCTGAGGTAGCTACCATGACTATTTCCATTCTGCAAGCACAGAGAAGTCAAGCAATTTTATTTAGGTTTCTCAGCAAGGTAATGTCTCTGATAGGATTTGAACTGGGCAGTCTGACCCCAGAGCAGAAGCGCTTCACCAGTATTTTTTGGGAGTGATGACTCATGCCTAATTGAGGAGAGAAATCACCCACAGAATAGTTCCAGAAGGCCAGAGCTACTGTAGTGGGTCCACCTCTTTTTGTTGCTTTTGGATGACAGTGGGGATCAAACAGAGGCTTAAGGCACAGGAGCAACAGGATAAAGATTTATATAGTCCCATTCTTTTTTTTTTTAAACAAATATATAGTTCATTCTCTTTGTATAGTCACTTGAAAAAAGTAGTATTAAAGCCATCTTACCAAGATTGTCCTTTGTAAATTAGAGTTAACACTACTGAACATTAGTTTACCAACTATTGTCGCAATAGTAGGAAAAACAAGGGCTCCACACAAAATTCGGGTGGCAGAGACATGATCTGCTAAAGGATTAGCTTCAGCTGGAATTCGAGGAACAGGACAACCAATCCCTAGAGAAAAAGATGGAGGGTATTAGTGCTAATAAATCTAAAGCTAAAATATCTTTGCATGGTAGGATTCACCCACAAGATTAATTTGGTATGTTCATTACCACCATAATTTAGGGCCTTACCTGGGAATATACTGTTCAAAATTTGTAGTTTATTTGAGTATTTGCGCCAGAGTCTAAGTACATAGTCCTCCCAGCGAATCATCTTGCCTAATATCAGCATGACAGGAATAGTAGGAAGTCCAATTAAAAGGAATAAAGGATCAGCTCTCTCCATAACATCCAGACCTTCTTTATGACCTACAACCTGTGAACAGACAGCATTTGCTTCAATCATTGCCTTGTCTAATGAAGGGGTGCATGCTTGAGTGCATGCTTGAATTGCACCACTGCTTGAGTAGTTCTAAACTACTAAATTTAGAAACAAAAAGTTTAAAAAATAAGCCAAAGCTGTTTCATATTAAATTGGCATAAAAGCTTTAAAACCCACATTGATTACATTTCAATGGAGTGAAGGGGATTTCTGCTTCTTATGTTCCTCTTATTTAATTTGGTTAGCTTGGGTTATAATTTTAGGTTCTCATGTATCTTCCCAAGAGCATTTGTTTTCCTGCTCTTCCTACCAGGAGGTAAGCACAGCCAGCCAAGGGGTGGGACCGATCTTCAGTAGATGGCCTGAAACCTCATTTCTCTGGCTTTCTCCCTGTTCAGTGGGAGCGAGTGTAATTTCTCTGGCTAGCCAAATGCTGGCTCTACAGACCAAACTCAAAAATGCAATTCCAAGGTCTAGATTTGAGGGAATGCAATAGGAGGTCCAGTTTTGGCTATAGGTTCCAGGCAGTTTTTCTAATTCAAACCCAAAGGTGCCTTTCTATGGGGTTGTAAAGCTTAAACAATCCTTTTCCTCTCATCTGGGTCTTGGGGTTATTTCTCAATTGTTTTAAGATCTGAGAAGGCAAAAAGGACATGATTAATTCTCATCTGTGAATCTCCACACCTCCCCTCCTGGTAGAATTCTTTTTACTTGCTCATCAATCTTGGCTTTACATGTCTCTCAACATGGCCATTCTGTTGGTGAGTGTCTTACTTTTAACTAGAATATGTCTCTGGAGTCTCTTTCACAGGTCTCAAATGACCTTTCTTTAGCCAAAAGTCTCAACTGCTCACAAATTAAATATATTTCTCTAAGGGATTATTCTTGGCAGTTATGACAGGGGAGACTATTTTAGAACTTTGGAGTTTGAGGCCATCCGGCTATCATAGGTTGCTATGAGGACAGTATTATGAAGGATTCTATATAGTTTTTCTGTATGCACTTGAGGATTACACCGTGAAGAAAGAACTGTTGATACAGATAATCTGTATCTTTATCTGTCTATATCTCTGAGAAGGATGAGGGAAAAGGAAGGAAACGCAAGGAGAGAAGGGAAAAAGAAGGTAGGGAAGACTAAAAGCCCTACAGACAACATTTACTTGGGAAAACAAACTCATGAAAAACTAAATGGGATCTTTTTTTAATTTGTTTTAAATGAGGTGTCCTTTATGTCAGCTATTATAGCAGATTGTTTTTTTTAAGGTGGACTTCAAGATGTGAAATAAGGAAGCTGACAGTGATCAGGGCAAATTAAAATTCTAGGCAACAGACTTGATTCAGGTAGAAATAGTTTATGAAACTATGGGAGCGTACCAAAGTGGACATTATTAAAGCTTCAACTAAGGATACAGCCCAGATTTTTGTACATGACTGATTTATCTAACCAAGATGTAACATTGAAGAGTACGGACCAGCCTCTTCCACATGGTCAAAACCCATGGTGTCAATATCTAATATTCTTCTGTGTCTCCAGGTACAGCTGCCCTAAAGTGAATTAGTCTGGTTCATAATATTTCATAAACACATATCCCACACATTGAGGGCAAAAGTGGATTAGCCCAGACTGTCCTTACCTATAATGCTTGCTCCACAACACCATTTTTTATATCATTATTTTCAACATTATGATCACTTTATAACTAAATGTGACTTAAATACTTCTGGAGTGTTAGCAAATAAATTCAGAAAACTGAAAAATTCTTTGTTGGGTTATGTCTTCTTTTTAGAATTTAGGTTTTAAAAATATAAAGCAGAGTGTGTATTCAGGTATGGACTATATATAGTAAAGGAAAATTTATTACTCATGGGTATCATTAAAATCTTCTAAACAGGTGTCTAAGGATGAGGAAATAAAAAAGAAAATAGGGCAAATAGTGAGCAAAAGTCCATTTTCCCATGTGTGCTCAAAAGGCATGCTTTGTGCATTAAGTTGAGGCTGACCATTACATGCATACTCGCATGCATTCATTCAACTGAATATTGATTATGTGCCAGACATAGAACTTGGTGCTGGGAAATAAAAGGTGAACTAAAGAGACATCTTTTGGAGGTGACAGACAATCAGATCAAACAAGTGTACAAATATAAATGTTAAGGAACTAGGATAGTATAACATCTGTAGTGTCATACTACCTGCTACCACAGGTCAGAGTCAAGGGTAATAAATGAAAGCTGAATTAAGCAATGGGGCTGATTTAACTTTGGTCAAAATGAAACCAGCAAACCTTGTGTAGAATCATGTACATTCTGGTTTTATGCCCTAAGATGGAAAAAGAGATTATTTTTAAGACTTAAATTTTGAGGTTAGATTCAGGAATGATAGAATGCCTTTGCTAAGAATTTCTTATCCATATATAAAATCAAACCTATGGAATTGTAGGTTTAGAGAAACTGTAGGCTAGTCTCCATAGTCAGCTAGGCCTGCAGTTCATCAAAGCTGAAAAGCTAAGAGTTTTAATTAAGGTCTGATCCTTTAAAGCACCTCCTATAGAACCCTACTTTTAAACAGTAGGATGGAACAGTGATGAACTAAAAGGTCTTCTTAGCATTAAGGATAATTAAACACAACATAATTAAGAACAGTCAATCCTGTGGTGGTTCTACACTAGAGGCAGATTGGTTGGATTGACAAAGAGAATGTAGTTAAAGAAAACAATCAAGAGGCTCCCTTAGCCATCCAGGTATGATGGGGGTGGGGTGGGGGAATGACAGTAAGTCAGGCATTAAAGACAGTGGAAAGAAAGCCATAGATGTTAAGACATATCAAAATGGAAACTGCTTGGACTTGGTCAGTGGACTGAATATAGGGCTATGAAACAGAAAGAGTTAAAAATAAAGGTAATCCTAAGAATGTAGGCTATTTATTGAGTAGATGGGAAAATAACTGTAGGAATCAAAGAAACAGAGAAATTACAACAGGGAATAAATTTAGGCTTCAAACTGAGGGAAAGACAAGTTTGATTTCAATAATACTGAGTGTGAAGCCACAAGAAGTCATTTAAGGAGAAAGGCCATGCTGCTGTTATAGGATTGATTTTACGAAAATATTAAGATGAAAGACATAATCTGAACACAAAACTCATGGTTAAGACAGGTAGAAATCTTTAAGGAAAAGGTATAAAGAGAAGAGTCAAGGGCTTGGGACTAATAAATCTTGAAATTTAAGTCTCTAATTTCTATCAACAATGATGTAGTACTGTTTTGTAATAGCAAAAAACTAGAAGTAACTAAGTGACTGATCAATAAGAGACTCTTGAATGGTTGAGATTCTATACAAACAATGCTATACAGATTTCTCTATACTTTGTGAAAAGGTCTGTAAAATTCACTGTTTATGGAAAAAGAGGGATTCAGCTCTAATGTTTCCTTTTGGGGGGAAAAGAACAGTGTGTGTGGGAGAACATATTTTTTCTTACATATGCACAAATAAAGTCTGGAAGAAGGTTTGGGTTAGGCAGTGGCTACCTGGGGAGAGGGGAACCTGGACAAGTGAAGGAAGGGAGTAAGAAGACTTTCCCCTAGAGAGCTTTTTATATATTTTCTTATTTTTAAGCCATGAGAAAGTTATTACTTGGTCAAAGTAATAATTTTTAAAACTCCTAACAAAAATCTATTTTTTAATAGATCTTCATATCAAAAGTAACAGCATCTGAGAGAATAAAAGTGAACCTGCATCACTGTCACTGCTCCGTAAGTCACAGCCGTCCAATAGATGGAGCCAACCATTATTCCTGCTGCAGCAAATGGACAGGCTTTTGAGATCAGTCTATCTGCAAGATCCAAGACATAAACAACTGGACCTATAATATAAAGAAAACAAAGTTTCAACATAAGACAGATTTTTAAAAAAGATCTGTTCAGTATCCACAGATACAAAATATTTTTATGAAGTTGCACACACTGATGCTTTAGAAATAACTTTTATTATAACAGTTATGTTATAAATGTAATGGGAACCTATATTTAATAGATTTAGAATTTCTCAGTCATTTGCATGAATAGCTAAGTTTCACTTCCTAAACCCTAGGAAATAGCCTCTTCAAATTTTTATCTTTAATAGTAAACCTAAAATTAAAGCCTCAAACACAGCTGCTTTCTATAAAGGAAACTAGTTCTCTTGTTTCTCTTAATGACACTGAAGACTACAGAATGACATTAGCATTTCAACCTGCTCTCCATAAACAGTTCCTGGCCACAGTTAGATTCTATATAGCACTTGGTAAGAGTGTCATTTTTTTTACTTCACTTACTACTTCCTTGATAGTGTGTGAAGGTAACCAAGGCTATTTTCCTGTAGTTACACAAGTCTATCTTACTTTGATATCAAATTAAGTTGAGTGTTATTCTCTAACAAACAATTTTTAATGATCATGCCAGTTTTTGTGGCATTCTAACAGCTCAATGTGCCAATTATACCTCTATTATTATGTATTTACGAAGTGAACTTTGGTTACTACCTCCTCTGGTAGTTATCTGGAATAACTACCTGAAGGAAGTCTAATAACTGCCATTAAGCCTGATATAATTTAGCTCTAGAATCTCCTAGAATAGCAGAAAAGCCTCAGAACAGATTTAGAGCAAGGCCTAATGAGCTGAATATGTAAGTTTAACTAAGGGATCATAAGAGTCTTCACTTAGTAATCATCATATTTGTTGAATGCTCTCTATGTACAATGTACTTAGGACATTTCCTCAGAAATGTTTAAGAGCTGTATCTACCCCTGAGAGCTTGCAATCTATAGGAGGATGCTGTACACAAAGCCAATATATTTTTCAGTATACAAAGAAATTCACATAGCAATATGATGATAAAATCACTACAAGAACAAGTATCCATCTACGGAGCTCTAATTCATAGTTCCTGATTTCTGGAGCCAGTAATATCACTAATCACTGTGAGAGAGACCATATTGTGAAGAAGAAAGGGCACTAGGAGAGATGTCAAAGGGACCTATGATTTAAATTCAGCACATAAACTTACTGTTGTCAAAGTCTAACTTACATAACATTTAAAATCATGGCAAGTTATCTTTTGGGACCAAAGAGAAAAGGTAAGCCTAGTGCAGTGCATATTGATGCTACATTCTACATGACAGCAGGCATTGTGTGATACATTACATGTATCATTAATCAATCTCATAATGTAGGGTTTAACCCTTAAAACACAAATTTGCTGGGTTAAGTTGGTAACTCCCTCAGAAGGCACAATAAAAAAAAATTTTTAGTGAGTCTTCAAAGATCTCTGAAATGCTAGTACCAAAAGTTAAAGCCAATGGGTATACATAAAACCTCAAAACCAGCTTTCAAATTCTCTACTGTTAATTCTTTAGTCAGAAAATTGAAGCCACAAGAGAACTACAGACTCTTTACAGCACATTTCCATCTACCAACATCACAACTATCCTATCTGAAGTCAGTCCCTTCATTCTAGATCCCATCCCCTCACCAACTCAAAGACATGGCTCCAGCAATTCACTCCTCCCCTCCTACAGCATTTCTCCCCTATCCTTTATTGGATTATTGTCATCAAACATGTCATTATTTCTTTTACTTAAAAAACAAACACACCTTTTTTCTTGATCCTTTTTTCCCACTGCTCCATTTATTTGCTCCCTTTACAACAAAGTTACTCCAAAGACTTCAGTTTCCATTTTCTTTCCTTCAATCCTCTCTTGAACTCACTCCATCAAAATTGCTCCTCAAGGTCACTAACAAGCTACAGACAGCTAAATCCAGTGGTCTAATCTCAGCCTTCCTCTTATTTGGCCTACCACCAACATCCAACAGATGTCCCCTTTTCCCCAATATATGGTTCTTCATGGCATCTCTAGGACTTCACCATCTCTTGGTTTTCTTTCTATCTCACCAGTCACTAACTTTTCAGTCTCCTTTCCTGGTTCCTCTTTTTCTTGACCTCAGTGAGGCCCATCCTGTCAACTTCTACTTCATCATACTCCATATTTGATTACTCAGCTATATTTTTCTTTTTCCCAAAGCATCACCTAACATACTCTAATTTCCTTATTGTTTCTACCTACTAGAAAAGAGGTTGAGAAACTATGGCCCATGAGCTGAATCCACCTTGCTGTTTTTGTAAATGTTTTATAGCAACATGGTGACATGCAAAGGCTACAACACAGCTAGTTGACTCTTAAACAACACGAGTTTGAACTGCATGGATCCACTGATACTAGGATTTTTTTCATCAGCAAATACTATTGTTCTATATAACGCTCTATTGGTTGACTCTGTGGATTCGGAGGGATATGGAGGAGCTGTGGATGGAGGACTATAAGTTTATATGTGGACTTTCGACCACACAGAGGGTTGGCAACCCCTCCCCCTCTCTACATTGTTCAAGGGTCAGTTGTATTTACTGTTTTTTTTTTTTTTTAACAGAAAAAGTGTTCTGGCTCCTGAACTAGAACACAAGATCCAAAGTGAAAGTAACCCTTTTATTTTGCTTATTGATGAATCCCAAATTCCTATGATTCTCAAAAATTTGCTTAACTTTCTACTGAGGTACTTATTTTAAACTATGATACGAAAATCCCTAGGTCTTCCTTTTTCATTATTTTGTATGAAGCCCAAGTTATAAGATTATTTTCTACACAGTCAGAATCAGAATCTATTAGAAGAGAAGGTATTTTACCTGCTTCCAACTGACCTCCTCCCATCCCCTATCTTTTCAAAAAGGGTGCTTGGAAAGATCTACTGATGGAGCAAAGTAATAGGTCATTTAGATGAAAACATAGTTCCTAAAAAGTAATCCATCACTACCAATTTTATCTGCTATGAACACGGACAATATAGAGATATCTGAATTCTTTCCTTTAAATATCTCAGAAGGTTTCAACACAATAAGCTCGATTTTCAATTTTCTTCTGAATCACTGGATATGAATTCTTTCTGTACAAACTGAACAAACAAATCCTCATACTTCCTTCTGGAATTTTTTTACTCATCCCTTGTGTCACATGCAACAGATGTGCTCGATTAAATGAAGACACTAGCTGCATCTTATAATTCCTATTTCCAGTTTTTCTGACAAAACTCTGTCTAGGCTTTTAAGGTTTTTTTGCCTAAACCTCTCAAGTCTCTTCAGATTAGTTTAGTATTTTAAAGGAGAATAAACGCCTAGTGGTAAACATTACCATAGAAATATAAACTGCCAGGTATGTCTTTCTGACAGCTAAAGATTATCTAGGAATATCTTACTTGACGAATAAGAATAATCACCAAAATCCTCTGGATGTAGTCCCTCAATAATACTTTTCTTATTAGGAAGCTTATCATGTGTTACTATCCCATGACTTGAGGTCATAAAAGGAAAAGTGTAAGTCACTAGATTCTTCTCATTGTTAATATTACAGTGCAAACAGTTGCAGGAAATGAGGAAAGCCAAGACTCTTGCTCTTGAAAACCTCAATTCTAATGGAGAGGAAGAAGTATGACTGAATGTAAATCACAAGTTAAATATTTAAGAGCATAAAAAAGTTTTAGTATTTTAAGAAGGCATTAATGAATTTTTAATACTAAGCTGGCTTCACACTTATGTTTCCAACAGTACTGTATTTACACAATGAATGGCAATTGGAGAAGCTATGTATAAATACAAGTTTTGAAAATTCAACAAGTTAACTGTTGAATAAAATGTCGCGAGGGAAACATGGAATTAAAAGAAAATCTATTGTGAATTCTTTTGTACAATAAAGCTATAAAGCTTCTGTAAAGAAAATAACTATACCTAATATTTTGGGTAAGTTCAGATTTTCACATTTCAGATTTGAGTCACATGAGTGAGCTGAGAACTATTGGGAAAACTCCTAAGTCCATATCTATTGAAAAGAAATAATCAGTTTTATCTGGCAGACACTGCAGAAGTAGATATACTGTAATTGTTGTGTTGTGATTTAAATTCAAGTCTATGTATGCATGGTATTTAAATTTATGAATTAATGACTGAAGGACAGATAATACTTAGTGTTCAAAATCTCCTGGCACTGTTTACAGTCACACCCAGAATTCCCAGGCCCTTTCTTGGGGAAGAAAGGCATCCTCAAAAACACCTCTGACCAATTCTTGAAAAATAATTTCTAAATGCTGCCAGAGTGCTAAAGTTCCTAACACAAAACATAATTTAATGCTTCACAAGGTAAACTTTTATAAGCTCCTGAGAAGGTAACAGCTTCCACGCACTCCAAGGTTTCTATTAAATAGCTAAATTTATAAGAGAGATTGCAGAGAATTAGCTTTGATCTAGATCCAACTCAAATGCCAACCTGCTAAGCCAAAATATCAACCCCACTTTCAGGTTCAGAATTGCAGATTTTGGAGGCCATCAAGAGTCTTAACAATATAGTTCTAAACTTCTTTCCTTGAACACTATTTCTGGAAGGTACTGCCCCTACTCTGATTAAATCTGTATGAAAATCCAACTTCCCAGTGAAAACTGACCTAACCTGATAGAGCGGACTAATTGCCCTGCCCCACCCTGTTCATGTCTCATGAAGCTTCCTTTACACACTGTCCCACAAAATGCACTTACCCCTTTGCTTGTGCATAATGTTAGTACTTTATGTTCTTGTTCAATGTTTGTTCAGTTGTCTCAGTAGCCTTTATGTCTGTCCATGTCAGCATCATCTTAGACTGAAAACTCCCAGGGGGCAGGGGCCATGTCTGTTTAACTCGTTTTGTACAGTGCCTAGGATAGAACCATGTACAGATAGGTGCTTAAAAAATGCTCTTTACTGATGACTGGTACCACTCTCAGGGACTCTAAGCTACAGCTATCTTCAAC